ATTGGCAGCAATGTCCAATACCTCTCGTGTTGCAAGTATAAGGTATAAGCTTACCAAGTCTTGTGAAAATAGTAAATAAATTGAACTCCAGGGATGGATTTTATTGCATAGTCCAGGCTGGACCAATGTAATTATTCATATGTCTTACCTGTGGGATGGCTGTGAAAGCAGAGAATCTCTGTAGTAGCCGCCGCTACCACAGTGTTCGCCATGGGCTTCTGGGTCCTGTGTCAAGCAGCTGCCCTGCTGCATAGTAACCACTGGGGGTTGTTTGCTCAACAAGGGTGCTATTAACAGAACACCTTGCATTTTTCTCAGTATTCTCTGATTGGATCCGGTGAAAATTGTGACATCACCACCCCACCTCTCCACCTCCTCCAGTCAGTGAACACCTATCATTTATTGAAAAAAACAAAAATCAAGGTGTTCCATGAATGGAGTTCCTGCCAAACAATTGACCCCCTGTGGTTACTATGTAGCAGGGAAGCCACTCTGCACAGGGTCCAGAAGACAGCAGCATTCAATGTAGTAGAGGCAACTACTACAGCAATTCTCTGCTTCCATAGAAGTCAAGCAGGTATGTCAGATTCATACGTACATTGGCCAAAGTTGGACTATGCAATATGTAATATAAACTATGCAGCAAAATATAAAATATTAAAATAAAATCCATACCAGTAGCTCAGCTTTAAATCAAAGAGCAAACCCTGTCCTCCCTGTTATACTGTATTTCCACTGCTCAAACAAATTAAAAGGAACACTTTGAAAATACATCAGATCTCAATGAGGAAAAATATCACGCTGGATATCTATACTGATATGGACGGGGTAATGTGTTAGGAAGGTAAGGATGCCCCATCGTTTGATGGAAATGAAAATTATCAACCTACAGAGGACCGAATTGAAAAACACACCTCAAAATGGTACTCAGTTTGTATGGACCCCATGTGCTTGTATGCATGCCTAACAATGTCGGGGCATGCTCCTAATGAGATGACGGATGGTGTCCTGGGGTATTTCCTCCCAGATCTGGACCAGGGCATCACTGAGCTCCTGGACAGTCTGAGGTGCAACCTGGCAGTGTCGGATGGACTGAAACATGATATCCCAGAGGTGTTCTATTGGATTTAGGTCAGGCGAGCATGGGGGCCATTCAATGGTATCAATTCCTTCATCCTCCAGGAACTTTCTGCATACTCTTGCCATTTGAGGCCGACATTGTCATGCACCAGGGGGAACTCAGGACCCACTGCAGCAGCGTAGGGTCTGACAATGGGTCCAAGGATTTCATCCCGATACCTAATTGCAGTCAGGGTGCCATTGTCTAGCCTGTAGAGGTCTGTGCGTCCCTCCATGGATATGCCTCCCCAGACCATCACTGACCCACCCACCAAACAGTCATGCTGAACGATGTTACAGGCAGTATGATGGCTTCTCCAGACTCTTTCATGTCTGTCACATGTGCTCAGGGTGAACCTCCTCTATGAAAAGCACAGGGCGCCAGTGGGGGACCTGCTAATTCTGGTGTTCAATGGCAAATGCCAATCGAGCTCTATGGTGCCGGGCAGTGATCACATGGACCACTAGAGGTCATCGGGGCCTTTAGGCCACCCTAAAGTCTGTTTCTGATTTTTTGGTCAGAGACATTCACACCAGTGGACTGCTGGAGGTCATGTTGTAGGGCTCTGGAAGTGCTCCTTGCACATACGGGCAGATACCAGTCCTGCTGATGGGTTAAGGACCTTCTACAGCCCTGTCCAGCTCTCCTAGAGAAACTGCCTGTCTCCTGGAATCTCCTCCATGCTCTTGAGACTGTGCTAGTAGACTGAGCAAACCTTTTGACAATGTCACGTATTTATATGCCATCCTGGAGGAGTTGGACTGCCTGTGCAACCTCTGTAGGGTCCAGGTATTGCCTCACGCTATCAGTAGTGACACTGACCCTAGCTAAATGTAAAACTAGTGAAAAACGTCAGTGGCCTCCACCTGTAAAACATTCCTGTTTTGGGGAACATCTCATTGTTGCCCACCTAGTGCACCTGTTTTTAATTTCATTAACACCAAAGCTGATGAACAACCCCCTCTGCTACTTATCTGACCAGATCAACATCCCAGGAGTTTAACTGACTTGATGCTATACTCTGATTAAAAATATATATATACACACACACGCATATAATTTTTTTTTTGTAATTTATTCTATTGAATGAATGATGGTAAATGTTACCCTTCACTATAATCCAAGCTCGTTTTAATGTTCTTTGCTTTGTGTTGGGGCTTATTGACTGTGTAACGATGATTATCACCATGGCAGGTATGAGAAATTGTGTACATTAACATATAATTAGCAGTTAGAAAGGCGCACTGCTTACATTGTCGGAGGGAAAAGCTTTGGCTTCAAGCAGGATCTTATGGCGAGCTTTTGTAGGCTTGTAAAAGGATAGCTGTAAAACAAAGAGATGGAAAGGCATAACTGAATAAATTCAGCGAAGCGAGTCTTTTATCACATAACAACCCTAATGACTTAATGAGTGAATCCTTAAAAAAATTAGGAGAATTGCATGCTAAGTGCAGATATATAGAGAATGCCTTAAAGCACACACCTCTCCCTATTGCTTCATTTTTGTAAAGCTGAACTCTAGGAAATACAAACAGCCCATTAAAGCAGATCTGTAAACACTAATACATCATTAAAGGTTTTTTTCAAACACAATCATTGTAAGTAACTGGATTCAACCTGGTAACAGCCTCTTGCAGCCCTTGTATAAGAGAGCTCAGACTAGGGCAGGAAGTAGCAGCATAAGAAGCCAATCAGTTCATGTGATAAGAAGCATACTGATAGGAGGAAAGACCAGAGTGACAGAGGTGAGCTCATCACTATCCTACTTGTCCTTTCATTGTCCAGTCAAAGATTGGGTGGCCCAGGACCATCTGGGCTCAGGGGAGATGCGTTGAATGATGCTGGCCATTCAATTGAGGATATCTAGTGGTAGAAAAAAAGTAATGGGAAGAAGCCTCTGAACTAAGAGTGAATATTGCTACTGCTTTTACTGCTTGTTACAACGCATTGCACTGTTTACTCTTTTATTTGACATGCAATGACATGTGTTGTGATCCATAATAATGAAGACATGCTGCATTTTTTTTTTAACACTATGGTGTGAATTGGGCACATAGAAAGCAATTGTTGACTAAATGTCTTTACATTGGAGCCTGCGTTGATTATCCCCCTTGTCTACCAAGGTACGACCCGGTATAGAAGGGGCTAAATCAAGTTCACGGCTTGAGCTTGGTATCGTTTTTTTATACCTGGTGAAGGGCTTTAAGAAAAAAAGTGATCAGATGGCTATGGGGCGCTGAAGGTGTACCCCCCAACCAACAACGGTGCCTGCTGTGGTTCCTAGGCTCTTCTATTCCTTGGGGGAGTCTGGGACCATGGTAAATGGCTCCTACAGTGAGAAAAAGGAGGCGATCAGGGAACATCTGTTTCCTCATCTCCCCTGCAACTAATGACCTCAGGAGTAGCGTATTACGCCACTTCTGGCCTCATGGCTGTCATTCCCTGGCTACAGTAGCCAATGATGCAGCTACTCAAGAACAATCTGTGTTTCATTAGCTGCAGTGAAGAGCAGGAGGGGCATTGGGAAAGCAATAGACCCCCAATGTCTCCATAAAGAGGACTTCTCACCTGCCTAATGTTTTCACATAGGGGGCTTCGTAGCTCCATGTGATAACAATTAAAGCGGTTCTAAAGCCTAAACATATTTTACCTTAATGCATTCTTTAAGCCATCTTCCGGCCTGGTAGAATCTAGCAACAGGTAAAGTGATTCTAAAGGCTTAAATAAAAAACAAAAAATAACACAAATGTCTATACTTACCTGCTGTGTGCAGTGGTTTTGCACAGACCATTAAATCTTGTTCATCTCAGATTATTAAAAACAGTGCCAAGTCACCCTGTCTGTTGGTTCCTTAATAAGTTGATACACCACTTAGGCCCCTCCTACATGCAGACCTTGCATTTTAGAACATGGTTCCATTTAAAAGTAGTAAGCCCCTAAAATGCACAACATTAATATAACCTCAGAGAAATGTTTCCTTTTTAAAGTTCCATTCATGAACTAGTCTTGGGTCTTGGGTCATCTTATACCGCAGAGGTCTGGCAGAATCTAGCAACAGTTAACCTCACTGCCACCCCTCCAATGGAGAACTCCTCTGGCATAGTGAAATTGTAAGTAGAACTTGTATCATTCAAAAACAAGGTCTACCTCTTGCCAGTATTTCACACACAAAGAAACAATATATCCCACAGCTTCTACGGTGCCAAGATTATATTTGGCTATTGTGTCTTGTTGGTTGGGGTAGACCATTAAATCTTGTTAATCTCATATTCCTAAAAAAACAGTGCAAAGCCACCCTGTCTGGTGGTTCTTCCATAAGTTGGTAAACCACTTAGGCCTTGAATTTTAGTGCAAGGTTCTATTTAAAAGTAGAAAACCCTTTAAATATGCAACATTGATATAACCTCATAGAAAAAATTTCCTTTTCAAGGTTCCCTTTCCGGACTAAACTTGGGTAATCTTATACCGCAGCAGCCTGGCGGAATCTAGCAACAGTTAACCTTACCACCACCCTTCCAATGGAGCACTCCTATGGTACAGTGAAATTATAAGTGTAACTGTCAGGGATCTCCTCGATCCCTGCCGCGATGGTCCCGGCGCAGGCGCACTGCTCCGCCCTGTACACGGGCACTAGGTCTGGGCCGGCCGCGGCGTTCGAGTTCGCGCATGCGCAGTAGAAAGCCGCGGCCGCCCGCTGGGCACCAATGGCAGCGCAGGGCGGGATATTTAAAGGTCCCTGAGCTGTCATTTCTCTGCCTTCTGGTCTTACCTGCTCCCTGTGATCCTGTACCTGTGCCTAGTAAGTTTATTGACCCGGATTGTTTATTGACCTGCTGATTTCTCCTGCCCAGACCCTTGCTTGCCTGACCTCTCTCCCTGGATGCCCCCCATTAGATCTGACCTCCTGTTGCTGACCTGGCGTGTGACCCGACGATTCTCTGCCTGCTCCCTTGTACCTTACCGTCCTCTACTTTACCGACTCGGCCTGTCTGACTATGCACTTGCTCAGCCATCCATCCATCCCATCGGGGTCACCCGACCTCCTCACATCTGGCTCTCCCTGGTTGGAGCCCCTGGCGAACACCCCTACCACTGACAGGTGTGCTCAGTAGAGGCGACCTGGTCTCGGGGTACTACAAGTCCATCCCCACCATCAGGGGCCCTGGTGAACAAGTACCCTGGGGCTTAGACTCTGCGCTCTGGGCACGCCTGACCAGTGGAGTGCTAGTGGTGCCGCTCGGCGGTCCCTCACAGTAACTAGTTTCACTCGAAAATAAGGTCTACCTCTGTCAGTATTTCCCAGACAAAGAAACAATGTATCTCACACCTTTTGTGGCAAAGATTGTATTTGACTACTGTGTCTTGCTGGTTGAAATTGACCACTAAATCTTGTTAATCTCATATTCATTACAAATGTACCAAGCCATCCTGTCTGGTGGTTCTTCCATAAGTTTGTATGACACTTAAGCCCCTCCTACACACAGGCCTTGGATTTTAACGCATGTTTCCATTTAAAGTAGAAAACCCTTTAAATAGTCAAAGTTGATATAGCCTCATAGAAAAAGGATTCCTTTTCAAGGTTCCCTTCCCAGACTAGTCTTGGGTCTTGGGCCACCTTATACCTCAGCGGCCTGGAGGAATCTAGAAAGAGTTAACCTTACCACCACCCCTACAATGCAGCACTCCTCTGGCACAGTGAAATTGTAAGTGGAACTTGTATCATTTGAAAATGAGGTCTACCTCTTTATTTTCTAGACAAAGAAACAGTGTATCTCACAGCTTCTGGTGGTTCCTCCATAGTTAGCAGTTCACATAGGAACCGCTTACATGTGGACCTTGCACTTTAGCGCATGGTCCTATTTAAAAGTAGAAAACCCTTTAAGTACACAGCATTGATATGACCTCGTAGAAAAATGACGATTTACCTAGGATTGTAACCTGGTTCTGAAAAATGTAAAACTCAGAAGCCGCAGACGATTATTGTTCCATATTTGCTTCTGTGCGTTGGAAGGAAACAGTTTCTTGAATAGAAAAAGTAATGATTCTCAGTGTGAGCACGCATAATAGATAAGGAGAATCTGCAATTGAAAGTAGACCATCCAGCGCAGGAGAGAAAAGACTTACCATCTGAAGATGCAAATTAACCGTCAGTCCATTCATTAATGCCACCTCTTCAGATTTGGCACCTGCAAAACATTACAGAGATCTCAGCAATTCTCTTTTTTGTCCCTTAATTTCCAATAATATGGAAAATCTCTACTATGCAGAAATAGTGAACGCATTTTTTAATGTGTCACAAAAATAAACGTGGCGGTCTATTTATTTCCCTCATTTGGCGACCGGAATAAGAAAGATAATAAAAAGTAGTCGTGTTATGTAGTAAACTGGCGCTTGATTTATGGCCGTGATTATTTTCCCGCTGAATCTGTACAAACTTTGATTTAGTTAGGAAAGCAGGTGAAAATGGGAGTTTAAAAGAGAACAGAAGATACACGGGGTTCTGAAATGTAGGAATGAATGAGATTGCCAAATTAATCAACTTTCTACAACAATACCGAGCGACCTAATCTGCAGAGGCAAGGAATACGTTCATCGGGCAATGCTTTGTGATGTGTCCAAAAAAAAATGCAAAATGCTTGGGGATCTGCATGAAACATAGAAACATACAAAGTGACGCCAGAAAAAGACCGAGTGGTCCATTGAGTCTGCCCTTTTTTTTTTTTTTTTGTGGGGGTGGGGGGTTGTTTTTTTATAGATATAAACTTATCCCAAGCATGTTTGAAGCTATTTACTGTTGACCGGCTCACTATCCCTGCTGGAAGTTTATTTCAACCATCAACTGCTTGAGTAAAATAAAATTTTCTGAGATTAGTTTTGAACTTCCAGTTAGTTTAAGGCCATGTCCCCGTGTTCTTGATTTTGGTTTCATGTTGAAAATACTGCCCTACCTGGTCAAAAAAATTGGTAATATAGTAAAAAAAAAATCCAATCAGATTAGTCTATCATGATCTGCCCACGGTAAAGCCATGCTACTTTAGATCGAGCAAGTTGTGTGTTTTCAAGTGATCAATGATCCTTCTTTTCAGGAGTGATTCCATTAACTTCACTACAACAGATGTTAAAGTCACTGGCCAGTAATTGCCAGTTTCTATCTTGCTGCCTTTTTGTGGATAAGTACAATATTAGCTGTCCGTCAGTCATGGGGAGCTTCTCTGTATCCAGCTACCACTGTTCAAACTATGCGCTTTTGTCCTGCTGCACTTCCAATGAGCAAAGTCTACAAATACTGGTAAACATTATTTGTGTCTAAACTGAGTATGTGACTTTGGAGGACTCCAATAAGCACTAATCCTGGGTTGTCACCAGAACTAGTGCCCCCATTGGAAGATTTCTCCTTTATTCCTGTTCTGGTGACAACCCAAAATTTAGGATTTTTTTTCGCTCTCAAAGATAAAGGTTAATAGGACAAATAGAGCAAGGGCATCTCCTTAACAGGGGCACAGACAGCAGTAAAAACGTGACATGTAAACACTGGCTTCTGCGCATGAATGAGGCGTAGCTCAGTCCCAAAACTATATGAAATCTCTCATACATACACAATGCCCATGGGACTTACAAAGAGGTATGCCATATGGTTAGCACTTCCGCCTGGCAATACTAGCGTCGTTGGTTCAAATCCCAACCACGGCACTACCTGCCTGGAATTTCGATATGTTCTCCCTGTGCCTTTATGGGTTTCCTCTAAGTACTCAGGTTTTCTCCCTCACTCCAAAGACATGCTGGTAGGTTAACTGGCTCCTGTGTAAATTGGCCCTAGTATGTGTATGTATGCAAGTTAGGGACCTTAGATTGTACACCCCTTGAGGGTTAGGGACTGATGTGAATATACAATATATATGTAAAGTGCTGCATAAAGTGATGGCACTATATAAGTACCTGTAATAATAATAAAAGAAACGATCCAACATTTAAAAATCTTGCCACTTTGCTAAAATATACATATGATTATTAAAAACCTCCAAGTAAGTGTACAGAATCATTAGATATATCAGAAATACATTTGTCATCAATTCACATATAAAAAGCATTGTAGAGCAACATTAAGAGCACAGCAGGCATGATCAAGCAACGTCATGAAACTCTACGCGTTTCGTGAAACAATGTTCACTTCTTCAGGAGTGATCAAGTATACACCAACTGGAAAATGACAAATGACAGCCAGACCATCACTGGCTGGATCCTGAGCACAACAGGGGATCACAATCAGGTGAGGCTTCCAATTGGTGTATACAGTGCCTTGAAAAAGTATTCTTACCCCTTGAAATTTCCACATTTTGTCATGTTACAACCTAAAATGTAAATGTATTTTATTGGGATTTAATGAGATAGACAAGCACAAAGTGGCACATAATTGTGAAGTGGAAGGAAAATGATAAAAATGGTTTTTAATATTTTTTACAAATACATATATGAAAAGTGTGGCGTGCATTTGTATTTATATTGTAGAACCCCCTTTCTCTGCAATTCCAGCTGCACGTCTTTTTGGGCATGTCTCTACCAGCTTTGCACATCTAGAGAGGGACATTTCTGCCCATTCTTCTTTGCAAAATAGCTCATGTTCTTTCAGATTGGATGGAGAGCGTCTGTGAACAGAAATTTTCAAGTCTTGCCACAGATTCTCAATTGGATTTAGGTCTGGACTTTGACTGGGCCATTCTAACACATGAATATGCTTTAATCTAAACCATTCCATTGTAGCTCTGGCTGTATGTTTAGGGTCATTGTCCTACTGGAAGGTGAACCTCCGCCCCAGTCTCCAGTCTTTTGCAGACAGGTTTTCTTCTAAGATTGCCTTGTATTTGGCTCCATTCATCTTCCCATCAAATCTGATCAGCTTCCCTGTCCCTGCTGAAGAGAAGCATCCCCATAACATGATGCGCCACCACCATGTTTCAAGGTGGGGATGGTGTGTTCAGGGTGATGTGCAGTGTTAGTTTTCCACCACACATAGCATTTTTCTTTTCGGCCAAAAAGTTAAATTTTGGTCTCATCTGACCAGAGCACCTTCTGCCACATGTTTGCTGTGTCCCCCACATGGCTTGTTGCAAACTGCGAATGGGACTTCTTATGGCTTTCTTTCAACAATGGCTGTCTTCTTGCCACTCTTCCATAAAGCCAGATTTGTGGAGTGCACGACTAATAGTTGTCCTGTGGACAGATTCTCCCACCTGAGTTGTGGATCTCTGCACACAGGTGGACTCTGTTTAATAATTAGGTGACTTCTGAAGGCAACTGGTTCCACTAGATTTTAGTTAGGGGTATCAGAATAAAGGGGGCTGAATACAAATGCACACCACACTTTTCACATATTTACTGGTAACAAATATACTTAAAATCATTTATCATTTTCCTTCCACTTCACAATGATGTGCCACTTTGTGTTGGTCTATCACAGTGGTCGGCAAGCCGCGGCTCGCGAGCCACATGCGGCTCTTTACACGCTTTAATGCGGCTCTTGTGTGCCGGGCGCCCGCTCCCCTCCCTCCTCTCGGGCGGCAGGGACTCTGCAGCGTGATCCAAAAAAAAAAACAGCCAGGGCAGCGCGCTCAAATGCAATGATTGGCCAGTCTCGCTGCCACTCACATCCTGATAGCCAGTGATTGGCTGTCAGGATGTGTGTAGGCGGGGCAGCGTGACGAACGTGAGAGGAGCTAGGCTCCTCTCACAGTCCGCCCTGAAGACCGGAACGGCAAGGGAACACGGCGAGAGGAACGCGCGGAGCAAAGGTAAGTGAATTGACACAGGGGGGACTTGGCTTACTACTTGCTACTTACTTACTACTACTATATGAGGGATGAATTAATATGGGGGATGAATTACTATAGGGGGGATGAATTACTATAGGGGGGATGAATTACTATAGGGGGGGGGATGAATGAAATTACTATATGGGGGATGAATTACTATGGGGGATGAATTACTATATGGGGGATGAATTACTATATGGGGGATTAATTACTATATGGGGGA